ATAGATAGATAGATAGATAGATAGATAGATAGATAGATAGATAGATACTTTATTGATCCCCAAGGGGAAACTTTAATACGTTAGCATTAGCATTAGCATCTACTAACCCACAGGTCTGTGGCCTAACCATTAAGTTGTTATCAGAGTCTAACATGAGTCTGATAACTAAGTTAAGTAGATAAATAACTTTAAACTTTAACACACGCTCTGATAGGCCCAGAACAGGCCGCACACCCACCTCAGCCTCCGCTTCGATCTTCTCCTCTTTGACCATTTTCTCCACCATGCGCTCGGCCAGGGGAAGGAACATGGTCTGGGACAGCTTTTCATCCTGGGCTGAGATCGCCTTGGTAACAGAAGACGTGTTTTTTTCATTGGTTAGCCGTTTAATTTCGGGGGATGGGGGGGTTAAGATCCGGGTCTTACCTGCATCACCAGGCTCATGACGGACCAGAAGTAGTAGGGGTTCTTGGGGACTATTTTGTAGAGAGCCATCCCGGCCTGAAAAGAGAGCATTAAGAAAAGGCTTTAGAGGAGTCGTGATGGCGTTTAAAGCCGAGCAAACTCTGTGTGATGTTTCCCATCGTAACTCGGAGCTCCAGATCAAACTGCACCACCAAAAGGTAGGGGTCAAAGGTCACAGCTAACGATTTATGTTCTCCTACATAATACGACCCGATATGCGATCTGATCTGACCTCTCTCTCTCTCTCTCTCTCTCTCTCTCTCTCTCTCTCTCTCTCGCTCTCGCTCTCGCTCTCCCTCTCTCCCTCTCCCTCTCTCCCTCTCTCTCTCTCCCTCCCTCTCTCACCCTTTTGCCTTCTCTCTCTCTCTCTCTTTCTCTCTCTTGCCCTCTCTCTTGCTCTCTCTCTCTCTTGCCCTCTCTTTCTCTCACCCCCTCTCTCGAGGCAGATGCCCCCCCCCACCCCGGTTCTGCTCCAGGTTTCTTCCTCTTAAAACAAAGTTTTTCCCTCCCTGTGTCTCCTAGTGCTGCTCTTGGTGGGAATTGTTGTTCTTCTGTAAATAACTTCAGAATGAATCCGGTCTGAGCTTTTCTGTTTGGAAAGCTGGGAGATAACTGCTGTTGTGATGTGGAGCTATAGAAATAAAATAAAAAATTGAATAAATAATAAAATTGAATTGAATTAAAACTCGCTCCAAGAGATTCTCGTACGAGGGAAAAAATCGTGTCAAAAAGGGGCAAAAATCGCAGTGTCCATCCAGCTTTACGAGCTGTGTGTGTGTGTGTGTGTGTGTGTGTGTGTGTGTGTGTG